CAGGTCTGTGATGTTCTCACTGCGTTGACGTCACCTCTGGACATCCCGTCCGCATGACGCCCTGCCCGGCGTCCCCACAGCTGCTCCCAAGCCCTGACTCGCTGACGGGAAGGCTGCAAAAATCCCATTGACCGCCGGGGGGGGCAAAGAGATTCAGAAAACCTTTGCAGCCCCGTTACCGTAGCCCTGCTTTCACACAAGGTGCTTGTCCTCATGGAGATGACCTTGGATTTGCTCCAGAAATTCCCCTTTTCCTGGACTGGGTATCTCACCAGAGGTCCACCCATCTTCAAGCAGCCAAGGTTGAGAAACACTGATCAGCAGAGGTGGGAGGATTCCCAGAAGATAACTGGGTAGGGGACCTGCTCCCCCCGGTAACGTCTGAAAAATCAGGATGCAGCTTATTTGCTTCTGGGTTTTGAGTCACTTTCCTGGAAGGAAGCACTCGGCTGCCCTTGGCTGCCGAAAACCCTAGTCGAGGGGAGAAGCGGTTTCTCCTCCACGTCACTGGCCAGTTTGGGGGGCACGTCAGCAAGCATGAGAACGGGTCTCAGGTCCGAGGAGCTGAGCAGAGGGGGACCAGGGCCAAGGTGGGGGCACCGCTGGAAGAGCCGAAGGACCGGGTCGGGGACGGGTCCCGCTGGAGGAAATCTATCTGCGTGGTTGCCAAGAGTCGACACCGACTTGATGGCACGTAATCGTCAGAAGCAAACAGGAAGGGGTCTCTGCTGCTGCCTCTAACCCTTGGTCTAGCAGGGAAGGCCCCAGGCCAGAAAGCAGGAGGCGGCGAGTTCTAGTCCCGCCTGAGGCGCGAAAGCCAGCTGGGTGACTTTGGGCCAGTCCCCCCCCTCAGCCCAACCCGCCTCCCAGGGCTGTTGTGGTGGGGAAAATAGGAGGAGGAAGGAGGAGGAGGTATGTTCGGCACCTATAAAAATAAGAAAGGCAGGATAAAAAAAAAATCTAAACAAAAAAACTCTCAGTTGTGGGCTGTTGCGAACAGGGTCAAGAAAGGCATGCAGGAAACAGTTTTGTCAGCCCCCTCCTTGCTTTTCTGCACGTATTAGTTTATGGCATGGGGGGCGGGGAGGAAGGAATCCAGCCTGACCACCCGAAGTCCTACAGGGCAGTGCAAGGGCACTGGGGCCTCCGGGCCTGGAGGCATTGCAGCCAAGGGGAGAGGCACAACCCTGCTGTGGGCATTGGTGGGCATTTGCACCAATGACAAGGCTGCCTTTCCCCCAGTCCTGCGGAGCTCAAGATCTCAAATTGCAAAATTTCCATTCTGCTTTTGAGATTTCCGGTAGCCGGGTGGCAAGGAAGTCAGCTCAGCGGCCCCAAGAGAAATCCTGGCCTTACCGCGTTTGGACAACGGGCTGTACGGACCCTGACGTGAGCCTGTGGCCAGCAAAAATTGTGCCCTCCCCCAGCAATGGGTGCTGCCTTGACCCTCTGAAGCTGATAGACATGGATGCCATCAACAAGGCCAGACGCCTGGAGAACCCCTCCCATGAAGTTTCCCCAACCCAGAAATCTCCAGTAGGTTTGAAAAGTGCCACCAGGGTCCACTGACTGTTTTCGGGCAGAGAAGCCATAGTCTGGTGGGCTAGCATATCTGCTGTTTAAGACAAGATATATAGGGGAGAGGGTGTTAGAAGGGGGTTATTTATTTCCTTGTTTATTTAAGATGCTTGCATGGCCCCCCAACTCAACCCGAGTGACTCTGGGCAGCTTAAGGAAAATAAGGGTCTACAGAAGTGTTTCTCAACCTGGCTTCTTCACGTGGCCAAGGTTGAGAAAGCTGGTCTAGAGGGAATGCTGTTGGCAAGCAGAGCTTCTGAAGAAGATGGAGACCATGAAGCTTCAGGGCAGGAAGAGGATTGGGGGAGGCAGGGCAACATCACCCACTTCCCCCGAGGGGCAGCGGGATGGAGAGACGGACGAGGTACCATCTGGAGAAGGCTCCCAAGAGGCACTGAGGAAAGGAGCCGTGTAGCGCGGCAGCGCTGGCCCGAGAGCCACAGTGGGGCAAAGAGGCTGGCCCAGGTGCCGCCTTTCCACGAGGTTGGGGTAGGAAAGACGGATGAGCTCTTGCTCTTTCTCCCCCTCCTCTCGGGAGTTCAGCACCCACGTCCCAGCAAAACAAAAATTCATTCAGGCTGCCTAATGAGGAAGTGTGGCGACTGTGAGAAATGGAAGGAGCTGAACACGTGGAAACCTCGAGCACCTTTGCAGTGGTTCGGCAAGCATGTTAAATCAGGGGGGAGGAGCTGCCTTCCAGGACGGACAAGGGGACGAAGGGCCATACAGGGCGGAGGCGCAGTGTGGGAAGAGCAAGAGCCTCAGGGTAGCCCTCCCTGGAATCTCCCAGGCCGTACCCGCTAATTGCAGGAGCGTAGACTGAGTCTGGCAAGACTCTGTCTCGGAGCTGTGAGCCAAAGGCGTGAGTGATGCTCTGTGATGGAATGGAATTATGAAGGCCACACTCGGGGAGGCAAGCATCCTCTTTCGTCTCCAGAAGGGCGAGGAAGAAATAAGAGGATGAGGCTGGCACCTCCCTGAGGAGTTCACGCTGTTTTCACAGCTACTGTGGGAACAGAGTTTCAGTCTGGGAAGATTCTTGCTAGAGGTTGTAGCTAATAAACGTTGCTGAACTGAATCTGCGTGGTCTCCTGGAGTTCCTTGGGCTAGGCCTGACATGCTCGCAGCACCTTTTTGGGGTGTTCTGGAGCAGCCGCTGAGCATGAATAAACTTCTCATCAGGGTCACGACAATCCTGCCCTGTTAGCCAGTATCCAAAGAAGCAGTTCTTGCTTAGCTGTTCTGTTTCGCTTATCTCCAGGCCAGGGGTGTTCACAGGATCAAAAAAGTCAGGATGGGGGTCCCCTTGGTGCAATGGAAGCTCCAAAAATGCGTGGAGCTTTGATTGTGCCAGGGCGGCCACCATCTTGACATTTTTGACCACAACCTGGGGACACCCCTGCTCCAGCATTTCTGCCAACCGAATTCCAATAAAATAGGAGCATCTGCAGGGGTTGCCACTGTGCGAAGCCCACCGGTTTTTATGTGAGCTGCATGGATGACGTATGTAAAAAGGGGCGCGCCATCTTGATGTTTTTGACTCACCTCCCGCAGATGCCCCTGAACAAGAAATAAATGCATGAGAAGCCTGGGGCATGTTATTTCCTGAAAGCCACAACCATACATTTATTCCACAAACTAATTGCCATTAAAGCCATATCAGTGTGCCTGTGCTGGGATTACATCTCTTGGCAACCTCTCAAATTTGGAGCATTACTTATATGCGCCCCATTATAAACAATGTGCTTGTTACATTGCCCTCCCCTCTTTCCCCATAGGAATTGTGGGTATTCTCCAGGGGGGTCAACCCTCATTTCTATCCTCATGGAAACAACCTTATGCGTCAAGACATTCAGTCAATGAGGAAGGGGCAAATTGAGTCCCAGTTCGAGGGTCTGATCTCTCCCCATCACTCCTTTTGGGATGTGGTGACATATCCAGGATCCTGGTGTTTTTTTAAAAAGTTTAAAATGCAAAGTTTTCCATGCTTCGTCTTCAGACGAAGCTAGACAGGGGGTCACTTCCCGTCACAATCCCCTCACATGAATTGAACAGGTCAAGGGAACCTCCTTCAGGACCAGCTTGGGTTCCTGGCGTCTTCCCGGGGCCTTGCACAGCTGACCAGCGGTGAGCAAGGCAGCTCTCCTTCACGCGAATGTCAGCCAATGACGTTTAGTTCTTCCTCTTATCTTCCATGCACCGCTGGGAATTTGACCCTACTGATAGGAGCGAAAGAGGTCAAGCAGGTGTTTTGCATAGGAGGTGGTGCACATTTCGATTCCCTCTTCAGGACGCTTTATAGAGCCACTGGTGGACAGGAGACCGTACCAAGCGTGGGACACACCAGAAGGGCATCACCCTGGGCGAGAGGGGTCTGCTATGGGGAGCGCCGGAAGCCGAGATGACTTTCAGTGGACCTACACCGATCAACCGCACACTAACAGGAGGAAGGAGATCCTGGGTGAGTTTGCAGGGAGTGGATTCAGCCAGAACCGGCTGGGCGCAGGGATGCTGGTTGAGATCTGGAGGAGAACAAGGCTCCAGAATCAAGAATACGACCCTGCAAACAGAACCAAGGGCAGGTCTAGCGGGCAAAAAGGGCGAGGACAGCAGAGATGGGTGTCCAAGCCAAAACACCCTTCATCAGATTAGCGTGCCAGATTCTTTTGGGCTCGTTCTACAGCACTGTGTTCGTTTTACAGATGGGGAAAACGGAGGCATGATCAATGGGGCTGATTGGCTACAAAGGCACATGGCCAGTCTCGGGAGCCCCAAAAGCCAGTGCTGTGCCCCTTTCCTAGGATTCGGAAGACCCCGGGGCACGGAGGACAGAGCAGTTGGGAAAACCAATTCTCTTCCAGGACACGGTTCGGTCAACGGCTACTAGATGCGCTATCAAAGCCGCTAAGGCTTAGCTCTTGCACGTGTCTTTATGTGCAAGAGTTAAGCGTTATTATAACACAGAATATCTAAAGCAATGTTTCTCAACCTTGGCCACTGGAAGATGTGTGGACTTCAGCTCCCAGAATTCCCCAGCCAGTCCACACATCTTCCAGTGGCCAAGGTTGAGAAACACTGATCTAAAGGATGATGTCATATTTCAATTATCAATTATTTTACATCCTGTTTGTCTCCTATTGTTTTCTCTTAACGGGGGTATCTGTTAAGATGGAAAGATCCAGAGAAGTGTAGTTGTTTCTAAGACTTTGCTCCTGGAGGCTTTCCAAGGAAGAACCAATAATTCTCAGATCTGGATCATTTCTCCTCCTTCCCCCCCTCCATCCCCCCCACCCTAATTTGCCAATTGTTGCTGCCTCTGATGGTTCTGTCTTGTACAGCAGCATTTTACAGTTCACCTCCATTTTTTAATCTGCCCTGTTCAGGGTGGAATGAATGTTTTCTAATGTTCTGTACAGAGATAGATAATCTACCCGCAAATCTGCATTTTGCGGTTTTCTAAAAAACAGCGTCCCAATATACTTGTATGTGAAAATTAATTCTGCAGCTGGGAATTGAGCTTGTGAAGGAATTGTGTAAAACTTTCCAGCAGATATTGTTGAAACCAATGCTCTCTGGAACAATTCTTTTTTTACCCATTCATTAGTTATATAGATGGATAGAAGGGAGTTGGGAGTTTCCAAAAAACTTGTGGTGGGAGAATCTTAGGTTTCCCAGTGCTATGTACCACGTGTTATACCATATTCAGGCACCTGTCCCAATTCTCACAAGTTTTCACCCTTTGTTCTGGCCTCATCCCTTCCTAAATTGTTCACTGGCGAAGGGCCTGTAATTTATGTATTTATTTTATTTTATTTAAATTCCAAACTTTTATCCTGCTTTTGTTTATCCACTCTAAGAAGGATCCACCTTGGTTGCAACCTGCACTCTCAGCCTTTCAGGGCCATCTGTGAGGGGTGTGTGTGTGTGTGTCAGAAAAGTAAGATAGCAGCTGTGACTGTGTGATCCAAGCCCTGCTCTTTTTTTTCTATGCCTCACAGCCACCATCTTAACCTTTTGGACTGCCTGCCCCCTCCCCACAGATGCCCCTTCCCGTTTAACCTTCTTGGGTATCCGGCCCAGAAGAACACACCTCGAATAAAAGGACAGAACAATGCACAGAGGGTCCCGGTATTCCATAAAGAATGCACGCCTGTGTGTTATATGAAAGACATTGACGGGGCTGTAAAATTGTGGATTAATAAGACCTCTTCAACTGCTACGTTAGAAAAAAATTGCAGAGTTAAATGAATGAGACCTCACAGGCAGGAACCACAATTTTACCAAATTTGGATGGATTTTATGGCTTAGCTCACTTGCAATAGACTATAATCTGGTACACTTTATATACATGGCAAATTTTCATATGTATAGTACCTGTCTCTTTATTCACATTGCAATAGATCTCCATTGTCTTTTCTATGACTTTTCTTTTTTTCCCCTCTATATGTATCTTGGATTTATGCAAACAGGTACCTGATATTGTTTGGTAAAAACGAATAGAAATACATAACCAAGAAAAAAAAACGGGGCTGTAAAATTGGTTGTTTGAAAAAGGCCAACCGCTCCTCGGGGTCCTGGGAATGGCGTTCTAATTTTTTCCTGGGGTGTTACTGCAGCGACAGTGGCAGATGGATAGGTCAGAGCCCTCGGGACCAGGGGCTGATCGAAAAGCTCAGGGGGGAAAGATCGGAGAAATCCCCTGTGGTTTCCTCTTCCCTTCCCTTTTCCACACCAGGGCAGGCAAAAAAGCCTGGGGGATGCCGAGGACGTCTTTGGGGAGCTAGCCCTGGGGTGGCCAAGTTCATTCCCGTCAAGGCTACCCCAGCGAGGGTTGGGGCTTTGTGACACATCTTTCCGTGACAGGCCAGTTGCTCAGGCTGAAAGACAAACGTACTCAGCAGCTGAGAGGGGTGTCCAGGGACGGCAGGTGGGTGGGTGGGAGGAACGCTGCCTCCGGGCTGGGCAGCTCGGATAAAGATCTTGTTCTCAACCTTTGCTTGCTCAAAGGCCAGACTTTGCCTCCTGACCTCCTTGGATTCCAGTCCTTGCCCTCGGGGACCATTTGCTCAGGAAATCACTTGAGGTCTATTCCTAAGCTTTTAGCAACTCCCTGTCTTACAGCTGCTTCCTCGTTTGAAATCTGACCTGTTTGGCTGGTAGGTTTGATTTGGGTGAAACAGCTACAGCCTTTCCCTTCCTTGTGGGAGCCTCAAGATATTTTGGATTGCAACTCCCGTCATGTCCGTGGGGTGCCAGTTTTCTCAAACCAGTGCTCTTCAGAGATGTTGGAATGCCATTCCCATTATGCCCAACTGCCATGGCCATTGAAGCTACCAGTGCGCGCGTGTGCGTGTGTGTTTATTCGTTTACAGGACTTACAGTATATGGCCACCTATCATACAATAACTCCAGGCGGCTCACAACGATTCACCAAAACATGGTACCTTTACCCCCAGGCACCAGGCCAAACATCCTCGCAGCTCAATCCCCACCCAGCCCAACGCTTGGGAGAAGAGCCAGGTCTTCACAGCCCGCTGGAAGGCTAAAAGGGTAGGGATCCCTCAGATCTCCGATGTTGTCCCCTGGTTTGACGCCAGTGGGCACAGGATTGGTCTTCAGAGTTGATATTCACAGAATAACCCTATCTGAGTTTACTGAGAAGTGAGTCCCCTTGTATCAGTGGGGTTCCTCCTACATAACAATACCTGGGATTGCCATGGGGCAAACATACACAGGTATGATTATACATAGCCGTAATGACTAATTATACATAGCCATAATAACTAATGTCTACTGTGTCTTCCTACAAACACAGCTAAGTATCCTGAGATAAAGAAACTAATGGCACCCGATCCCAACATGAAATGGGTGGTGACCCTCATGGTTCTAACACAGGTAGCGGCCTGCTACCTGGTGAAGGACTTGCCATGGAAATGGGTCTTCTTCTGGGCCTATGCCTTTGGGGGCTGCATCAACCACTCCATGACTCTGGCCATCCATGACATTTCTCACAATGTGCCGTTTGGCAACAAAAAGCCCATGTGGAACCGGTTGTTTGGCATGTTTGCCAACCTGCCCATTGGTTTCCCTTACGCTACTTCCTTCAAGAAATACCACGTTGATCATCATCGCTATTTGGCTGGCAACGGTTTGGATGTCGATGTCCCTACCACGTTTGAAGGGCGCTTCTTCAACACTCCTGCCAGAAAGTTCCTTTGGATCGTTCTGCAGCCATTCTTTTATGTCTTCCGGCCACTCTGTGTCAACTTCAAGCCCCTCACTCCGATGGAACTTCTCAACGTTGGCATCCAACTGGCCTTTGACCTTCTCATCTATGGCCTTTGGGGAATCAAGCCATTATCCTACATGATTGCTGGTACCCTCTTAGCCATGGGCCTTCACATCATCTCAGGGCACTTTATTGCTGAGCACTACACGTTCATCCCAGGCTATGACACCACCTCCTACTACGGTCCCTTGAACTGGATCACCTTTAATGTGGGCTATCACATGGAGCATCATGATTTCCCCAGCATTCCAGGAAGCAGACTCCCACTGGTAAGACTCCTGGACTCCCTTGAGGTATTGCACGTGTGTGTGAATAGCTGAGTGTGGGTGTCAGACACTTGCACAGTGTTATTGCTCTCCTTTCTCTGTCCCAGTAAACTGTTATTCTCTTATTCTTCGGCCAACTCTGGGTTTCATAAGCCTCATAAAGAGCTGATACAGTACAAGATGGCTGTGATCACAAAACATGCTTAAAGAGATCAGGGAAAGACCTAGCAATTGCATTCACACAATAGGCTATGTTTGCTTAATGTTAACTTTGACTAATATTTTGTTGGTGTTGGCTTAGTGTGTTGAGTGTGGTTAATTTGTTTTTTCAGTGGATTGTCACAGCCTGGAAAATTGGATTATCTGAATTTGTGCTATTGTTGATGTGATTCTGCAGAATCATTGTGTTTTGTACACAGCTTGGGAACTCCTGGGATTCTATTTTGAAGGAATCCTTTCTCTTCAGCCCACTTCTCCCCGTACGTTGTTGGAAGGCCACCAGCTCCGGTCCCTCTGTGGCCTCCCAGATCTTCTTGGAGTCCATCACTGTGACTAGCATTGGACTTCCTTGTTCCTGGTCCTGCCTAAATTGTCTCTCTCTTCCAGGTGAAGAAGATTGCTGCTGAATATTACGACAACCTTCCCTACCACAACTCCTGGGGGCTCGTTCTTTGGAACTTCATTTGGAAAGACACCCTAGGGCCCTTCAGCCGCATGAAGAGAACATATAAGGAGAAGGAGGAAGGGGAAGGACGGAGGCATTGAGGGTCCCCTCAAGGAGCTCCTTCCTCCCTGATGCAGGTCTAGGAACTAGGAACTAGGTACAGATGATGGCCTTCATAAAAACTGCCCCAAACCAAATTGTCTGAAAAAAATTACAGAGAAAACCCTGAGAGATGTCCAGGCTGGTGAGAGGAGATCCAGAACCTCCAAATTTACAAGTCTCGCAGCAGAGAATGCTGCCCTGGATTGAGTCACACCCTTGCCCAAGTTGACACTGATCCACAGCAGCTCGGTAGGCTTTCAGGTGAAGTTTTCCCAGCCAAAGTTGTTATGAGCAGAACCGGTACGAGCAGTCCACTTGGCAGGCCTTCATTTTTCTCAGGGCCTGCTGCTGACCCGAAGGCCTTTCCACCCATCCCAAAATCAGCAAAAAACTAGAATAGCGTGAAGTTGCTGTCTCCCATGGCTGAACCTTCTCCTGCCTCTTTGGGTTCTGTTCCTTGGCACTTCCTCCTGACTCTCTTCCAAGAGCAGGGATGGCAAAGTTGAGCAGATGATACCTCCTTTGCATCTGACCTTGGATGCTGTCAGAATCCAGAGGAAAACACGTTTGGACAGGGATGAAGCTCAGGAGGACCTAAGCCTGTTTCCCTCCTGGGCTGGCTGGGGATGAGATGAAGGTGGCACCATAAGGGCATGGCCAAAAAATGTGTCAGGGCGGGTTTGAACCTTGCAAGTGGGTCACGGTCCTCCCACACCTCAGTAGACATCTTGGAGGGCTGTAGGAACCACCCAGGCATTCTTAGCAAAGGTTATCCTGACTGAGAAGCCAGAGGGGGGGGTCCATGGTGTTGAATCTGTTGAGGCTCAGAAAGGGGGCACAAGCCACATCCCAAGGAGTGCACACGTACATGAAAGCAAGGAGAGGCCCCCATTCTGCAAACCCACTGTCAGGCCTAGCCCAAGGAACTCCAGGAGACCACGCAGATTCAGTTCAGCAACGTTTATTAGCTACAACCTCTAGCAAGAATCTTCCCAGACTGAAACCAGTTGCCAGGGTCAGCCAGTCTACACAGAGTGAATTCCTCAGGGAGGTGCCAGCCTCACCCTCTTATCTCTTCCCCGCCCTTCAGGAGACGAAAGAGGATGCTTGCCTCCCTGAGTCTGGCTTTCATAATTCCATTCCATCACACCCACCATCCCCTCATCTCTTCCAAGATGGCCTTGATGGGCTTTGGTGAGTGGGCAGGAGGACGGTGAAAGGAAGAGGGTGGGAAGAGGAAGAAGGGCACCATCCCTACAGGACAGAGGACTGGTGGACGGACAAGGGGCTCAGAAGCTTAGTTGGGTCATCCTGCGCCTGTGGTAGGAGCCATGCTGATGTCAAGTACTTCATGGCATCATCACATCAGTGATGCAAATGATCTCTGCTCCATCAGGCTACTAATGCTTCGTGCCCTTCGTTAGATGACGTTATGATGCTCGTGATGTCACTCGCCCCTTTGCAGACTCTCGCAGAGTCATCTGATGGAAGAAACCTTTGGGCGGTATAAGAGGCCGGATGTAGCCTGGAACTTGTGACAGGCCTTGATATTAAAAATACCTTGAATTCTGCTGCCTGATTAATCTGGAGTAACAATTTCTTTTAATCAGTTAATTCAACCAACAAATTGAAGAAATGCTTTTCCTCAGTTTAGACCTGCCAAAGAACAATAGGTCTGAGAAATGGGTATGATTCAAGATGTTGCCCGGGGAATTATGGGAGTTATGTCCAACCCGTTTGGAGCATGTCAGGTTGGGGGAAGGAGAGGTGGTGGTGTTTGAGCTCCCGATAGTGGAGTTTGCTTTCTCTGCAGGTGGTGGAATCTCTGTATGGATTCATTTCATAGAAGCATCGAACCTTAAGGGTCTTTGGAGGTCTTCTAGTCCGACCCGCTGCCTAGAGTAGGAATTTTCCTGTCATCCCACAACAAATGGCAGTCCCCCTCTACTTGAAAACTTTTCTTGATGGAGCCCCACCACTCCAGGAGGCAGGCTGATCCGCTGCTCCGTGGCTCTCCCCGTCAGGAAAGTCCCCCTTATTTTGAGTTCAGGTCTCCCTCTGTCATGTTCCACCTGTTGGTTCTTGTCCTACCCTCGACACTGGGTTGCCCGCAAATCTGATGACCGTCCTTCCTCTCTCCCCCTTATGAAAACGCCACAAAAGCCCCCAAAGCGGCTAAAAGGTCTGTAGAAAGAGAAACTGCCTCTTGATGCTCAGACAGGACATAAAAGGAAAAAGGATGAGGAGGGACAAGGAAAAAGAAGGACCGCCAGCTACCACAAAGGGCAGCCTCCCGCCTTCACACTACTGTGATTAGAAGGGGCGGTCAGGTGCGGCATGTCTGAACGAACAAGATTTTGGCTCTGAGAAAATGCCGTAAACATTCAGACGTAATGATCGTCATAACCTTGGGGGTTAAACAAAATACTCTCCTAGAACGTCATTTCTATCAGTGTTTCTCAACCTTGACAACGGTAAGACGTGTGGACTTCAACTCCCAGAATTCCCTAGCCAGTTGAAGTCCACACGTCTTAACGTTGCCAAGGTTGGAACGGATTTATATAATCCTTTTATTCGCCATGCATAACAGTGCATAGTGCAGTGCACCCAACAGGGAAAGCGGTGATGGGTCTGCATTTAGCTCTCAGTTTGCTCCCGGGGCGCAAGCCCTCCGGCACCCCGCCGCCACCCCAACCCTGCCCCAGCGCACGCTTTGCGCCCGG